CGCGAAATAGGTGGTGGAAGAGAGTAGTTTTTCTCCATCGCCGTTCACATCAACCTATATATATTCTCTTTTAGTTCTCTCTATTCATAAAATGAATTTCATTTCCACCGAGTCAGTCCTGAGTCGACTCAGTTCTTTGAATCAACAAAGAAGAAGATGTACATCAGATCAAACGATATGTATTTATGTAGTATCTTTTGATTCGAAATTAGTCGTCCAAATTTATTGTTATTTTGCTAACATATGTAATAGCGGATAACACTTTATTTGTTTGTATTATGTATTGTTAGATGTTTAATGATTGTTATTGAGCTAATTCTTCACATGACATGAAATAAATTATTTAGACCGATAATTAAGTATATTTTAGAATAAGAACAACATTTTAACTTACTAGTTGATCGTTAAATAAATGGCATCTCATTTAGTCGTTAATCTTATGATATAAATGGCTAATTTGTTATTCATTGGTAAAAATTTTGGTAAAGATAATAAATTACTTATACGGCTAAGATATTATAGGGCAATTCTCACAAATACCAATAAATGAAGTTTTGTTTCAAAAATACCACAATTTTCAAATATTCAACAAATACCACAAATTTTCAAATGTTCCACAAATACCACAAACCTAGAATTAACTTTTGACATTCAAAACTAAACCCTACCCCCCTCCCAAAAAAAACTATACCCTAGTTCTACAATAGTCAACCCAAACCCAAACATTTAAATTATAAAGCCTTAAAAATCAATTTTGTGTTTGTGGTATATAGAACATTTGAAAAAATGTGGTATTTGTGGAATTTTTGAAAAATGGTTGTACTATTAGAAACAAAATTTCAAAGTGTGGTATCCTAGAGAATTCCTCTATATTATACAGCTAAAAGTTAGGCTTCTACGTAAATTTTAGATGGCTAATATATTGGACAACTAAAAGTTAGACTTCAACGTGAATGTTAGACGGCTATTTCTTAACTTGGCAGAAAACATATTAGTTAGATTAATAATAGACTTGTTTTTTACACCTTGTATAACATTTTACCCTACATGTTAGTCGGCTAAAAGTATATTTGGTGGTTAACATATTACTTATATGTGTACATTGCTGATTACTTATATTTTTTAACATCACATAGACACAATGAAGATACTAAAGTTGGATGGATAACAAAATACATTAAGAACTAAATTAAGACATTGCCATTGGGTTGCAATGTTAGATACGCATACTTGATTCTGTAATACGCATAGCAGATAATATTTATGTTATCGTTTAGTATAGTTTTTATCTGTCTAATTTGTGATATTCTCGTCTAACTGAAGAACATTTATTCAGAGTGCTTGGCTCCTCGACGATATTCGTCGACGGTAGGTCATCATCTTTCTCCGGTCAATTCTATTATCCTTCATCTCCAAACTGTCTTCGTCCGAAACGACTTACTCGAGTAGCGGTGGACTCGAAACTTCTAATTTTTGGTAACTCCAATTCTTCTCCCATCTCCGGTAACTCATACCGTAACAAAAAAAGTGAGATCTATGACATGGATTGCCTTAAAAAAGAATTTGAGGGAAAATCCCTACTAATACTCGAAAAAAATATGCTCGAGCGGACTTACTGTTATAACGGTGGACTCAAAACTTCAAATTGTCGAAAAAATTGTTGGACTATCACCAACTTTTCACTTGCCTCTAAATTCTAACTATTATTGTAAACCAAACAAAACTCACGAAAAAAATACAGCGGAGCCCCTTACCATCAAATCAGCTATTTCGCAAATATATACAGCCGAATTTGTCTGAAGTATGTAAAATTTGAGCCATTGGAGTCGTCTGTGAACTGTATTCTCAGTAATATTACCAAATTGAAGACAACACTGTTTCTCTCTCCTAACTTCTTATTTTTGTTTTTTTTCCTACAATTTAATCATCACTTATTCGTTCTGACAATATATATACATGCTAAGACTAAGTATACTAGACAACACAAAAGTACGGGCAAAATGAAGTTAAATAATAATACACAGTGCGATAGTTATTTTACTAAATACCCTATAATCCATTGCTATCATGCGCAAATACTCTAAATTATAACTTAGAAAAAAATGGAAATAGCGTCCGGTATGTGTATAAAGTTATAAATAAAGAGGAGGTTCTCCCCGAAATGTGTTGAGGCACAGCAACATGAAATGATCAATAGTTTTCATTTACTTATTTTTTTTTTGTCACAAATGAAAAACCAGTTAAAATTTGATTTTTTTTTTCAAAATTACCACTTTTCAAACATACTATTGTTTTATAAT